CAGCAGTTACAAGCAAACATATTATTTCTGCTCCCTCTTTAAGCTTACATCATACATTCCTACTTCCTATATTCAATCCTTTTTAATCAACTGGAGGCAAAACCAGTTTTAGATGAATCAAGTATTAACAGCATTTTCCCTTAATCATTTAAGTGACTAGTTTCTCCCTTGAGAAGGAGAAGGTATTATCTACACTGGGAACAAACAGGATATAATATCATGTGTTCTAGTAGAAATAAAGGCTTGGCATGCTTAAAGCGGTGCATTACCAATTAGAAAGAATATAATTTGAAGTTATTCCTAACTTTCAAATGGCACCAGGAGGAAGAATGAAGTCCAAATTCCAGGCTGCCAACCAGTGCTTCCTTTTGGTGGTATCAGATTACAGTGTCTTTGCACTTCCAGTTCCTCCTGAGGAGAAATGTGACCATCAGTTAAATGTTTACCTATTCATAATTAGAATATGTCTTTTCCATTGATGAAACTCCAGCAAAGCACTCCTATACTAGAAAAATTCCCTATTGATTATTGCTTTTTCCCTTTTCTGAAAGACATTTTTCCCTATCGGAGAAAAATCATACTTTACCATTAAAAAAAAAAAAAGTGTGTTGCTTCATATGTTGAGAAGTGCCATTATTTAATTAATCTTCACAATATTAAATGCATTTAACTTGCTTGGTTCCAACCACAGAATTTTAAGGATATAATTAACGTTCCAAGTGCCTGAAATTGCAGGACTGTTGTGCTACGGATTTCATCTAGCAGGAACAAATACCACTGCAGGAATGCTTAGTGGTATAAGAAGAATCTTTTCCCCAAGGAGAAAAACATTCTACTTTTTTCATATGTGGTACGTGAGCTCAGTGCTGCAATGGAACTTGCTAGCTTTTTAGATAAATAAAACTACTGCTAGATCCTCTCTAATAGTTGTGGGTTGTTTTTTTTCCTTTTATGTGTTTTTCCAATACATCACATAAACCATGATAGATATGTAAATATCTCAGGGAATAATTTATAGCTTATGTGACCTGGCAGTTGTAGAGCTTGAATATTCTATTTGGATTTACAAAACAGAGAGTCTTACAGTAGAATCAGTTAATCTTTCTTTTATCTCTTACCTGCCAACCCTGCCTAGGGGTCTGACAATGGCGGGGAGCTTTTACAATGGCCGTGTCGAGCTCATGTAAGGATTGATTCTGCCACTGATCATGATTTTTTGTTCTCATTGATTATCGGTGTTTTTTTATATGTTTGTACATTGGTTGTTAAACTTGTTTTTATTGGATTGCTGCTCACCTGTTGTGAGGTGCCCAGAGTTGGTTAGATGAGTTGGGCAGCCAGACAAATCAAAGAAATAATAATTACATTGATATGAAATATTCCACTTACCAGTAAAATGAAGGTTAATAATCACTGCTGGAGCTGAAGTGTGTCAAGAATATATAATTCAAATAACCATGAAAGAAAAATAATTGGGCCTTTTAAATCCTACTATTCATAGAAAATAGAGAGGTTTAAAAATGGAGAAGGGGAATCATTGGTTTTGTTCCATTATGCTTCTGTAAAAATCCAGCAGATAAATTGAAGTGGAAGTTAAAATCCTTTCCTCTTGCTATTGGAAGTATCAGTTGACTCATAACCCCTATAAATCAGATGGTTAGGCTGATCACAAAAACGTTTTTTT